CCCCTAAATTGTTTTTTTTTTCTCCCAGGACCAGGTTTTCTGTTGATCTTTCACATTTCTACAGTGGGTCCCAGCAAACATGCTGGCTGTCCACTAGTATTCATGGGTAGGAGCTCGCGGGTCAACAGGGCAGATGGAGGGGTTTTCTCTTGGAACCGCGCCCCAAGGAGAAGGCTGGCTGTGGCTCTGAGCAGGTGTGTGGCTGCTGAAGAGCGTGGGTCTCTGGGCAGGCTGCATGTTTCAGTCACGCAGCTCATGGCGGAGCTGTCCTGCTTTCCACTGCACAGTGCAGAGGCTTGAGCCTCCCAGTCTCTATTTTCCCTTCAAGCATCGGCACCCGCAGCAGGGGCTCTGTTGCTCCCGGGCCCGTCCCTTTCCCTCTCGGGGCTCACCCTGAGTGCAGAGGCCTGCTCTCTTTCTGGGCCCGGTGGCAGGGATGCCCTTGGCCTTATCTTCCTGCAGGGTCCCTTGGCCTTGGTGACACAATCTACCCCTTCACACCTCCTGAATGAAGCCTGGGGCTCCCCACCCGCACTGCAGCCTCTCTGCTCTGACCCAAAGCCAGCCCTGGGCTCAGTTATCATTAGAGAAGGCTGTTATTTTGACAATGTGTTTTTCTTCCTCTTTCCCAAGGTCATGGCAAAAAATGACATCAAGATCACCACATTTCTAGCATTCCAGTGTGTGACACACAGTCATTATTTCAAGACTGTCAAACCATGTCCCAATACTATGAATAACACGACACCCCCTCCCTCCCACCAGTAATCTTCCATCCAATGCTCCTTCGTCTCCTTAACACCACCAGCCAGAGTGATGGCCCTGGTGTGCTTACCTCTGGGCTCTCCCTCCCCTGGGAGAGGCAGGCTCCCCGAGGACAGTCTTGTGCTACTCCTGCCCCCCAATCCACAGAGCATTAATCAAGGGTCGACACACAGGAGACTCAGTAATAATGGGAAATGAATGATGGAGGAGGCAAAGCAATAAGGTATCCAAATCATTAAACTGGTTGGTAGAAATGAAAACTCAACACTGACATATAGTCAGGCGTTATAATATTTGTTTGGAATGACTGTATGCTTGAAAACATGAAAGAAGCATCCAAATAGCTATTCCAACTAACAGGAGTTTAGTGAGATGGCAGGATACACAAAATACAAAACTAGGAGCTTTCTTACATGGTGCCACTTAGATGATATAATAGACCCCCACCCAATATTAGCCTCATAATACACCCAAAATTGTAAACTACCAGAAGAGATTAATAAGATACATGTATGGTCTAAACAAAAGAAAACACTAAACTTTACTGAGGATTATAAAATAAATCTACACATTGGGGAAGAAACTCAACCTAGTAAAGATGTCAGTTCCTTCATAATAGATAGCTTAAAAGCAATTGCCAATTAAGGTCAAAATGAGATTATTTGGTTGTTATTCTGAAATTTATTTAAAAAAAGAGCAGTAGCCAAGAGAAACTGAGTGGCAAAAGAAAAATTAAACTGCTATGCTACCAGATATAAACTGAATCATGACTCTAAGACAGTGCGGTAAATCTAGGGAAGGGTAGACACTGTGGAGATGGCAGGCCATCGTACATCTACAACAGGCAAGACTGTGTGGAGACAGCAATGGAACAGTCACAAGCCCAGAAACACAGCCAATTGGATTAAACAATTTGATTGTGCAGTAAAGGAAACACACAGAATTAACAGAGGAAAACAGAGGTTGACAGAGAAGGGACAACTGGCAGTTTTCTTATATTTGCTGTCACACACACCAAACTCAAGGCAATTAAAGGTGGATTAGAGGTTAATTATATTGAAAAGAGAGGAGGTACCAATAATAAAACTGTAAAACCTAGACATATACATGTACTAATCTGACCTTGGAATTAAAGGCTTTCCAAAGAGCTTAAGAAAGCACAGAAATAAAAGTATAAGACTTATGATTTGATTATATATGAAAAAGGGGAAAAAAACTATGTCATGTTTAAAAAGCAAATAATAAATTAGGGAAATATTTGAAAAAACATTTATATTCTAAATATACAAAAAGTTTTTACATATCAAAAAGACAATCTTTTTATTTTTGGTACCAGGGGTCAAGCTCAGGACCTTGTGCTTGCGAAGCAGGTGCTGGAACCAGTGAGCTAAATTCCCGGCCCTTACATATCAAAAAGAAAAAGACAAGTGCTGAGTGATACAGTGGGCAAAGAATACATGTTCATGATCGCGACATACAAGTCATGACAGCATATGAGATGCTCACCCTCACCACTGATTAAAGAAATCCTAGCAGACAAAGCATGTGGAATTTTTATCAGATTAGCACAGCTTCTAAGCATGATACCTAAAAGCAGAGCCAGCGAGGGTGTAGGATGAAATGGGTACTCACAGTATGGATGGATGGGTATTTTATTAACATCTTTCTAGAAGTATACTTAGAGTTATGTGTTCAGAACCTTAGAATGGTTCACTTACACTAGGTCACTCTATGGAGACTTCCTCTATAGCGACAGTAGGTGTTATGCACCAAGATTTAGGTACATTTACCATAAGGGAAGACGTGAAACGTAGACTTGATTCAATAACATTTAGATAAGAAAAGGAATTTTTACAAAAGCGAGCATAAAGAGAAACAAACATCTCCAGTTAACCTAGAACCCTATCAAAACAAAACTCCCCCAAAATAGCAGAATTCAAGAGTCGAGAGCAAAGAACAAGGTTAAGTAAGATATTAAATTTTGGAGAAAGGAGCTCTGAAATAACTATTATCTGTTTCTAGTTAAACGTCTATCACTTAAACATAGTATCAATTTATTTGACATTAAATTTGTGGTGTTGGGTGGAATTCCTCACAAGAGATGCATTTATGCATAATGATTTCGAACACAGGAAATTCAATTTTCCCAATTTCACAGCATTTAGTGTCCCACCCCTGCCTTGGGCTTGCAAGCTGAGGAGTGGACTGACCACTCAGGTGCGAGCTACCGCCTGAGGCTCCACCCATTCTTTGGGACGCACCAGTTGACTGCCTCAGTTGGCCAAGGGAAGAGGCCACTTCCCTAGCATAGGGCCACAAGGTCTTTCCTTTCCCGCAGTGGACCGTGCTAGAACGTCACCCCCTCTTCTCTGTCCCTACTTGACACCCAAAGAGTAGAGGGAGGCAACCAGGCTTTTTATTCAAGAGTAATTTGGTTGAGAGGTGGAAAGATTCCCTGGCAAACTGAAGGTCTGGCCAGGAAAAAGGGATTTTAATCACATCCCAAACCCTTTCCTTCACCCAATACCAAGGGTCTGGTAGAGGCTGAAGCTCACTTCCTTGAGAGAGGTCTTTGACAGATGCCCCACCATGGATACGGTATGGGGTACACAGGGTTTTGTATTTTCTGATTGTAATGAAACCTTTCATTTTCCTCAGGGAAACACAAGAACCTCAAGATCAAGAAATTCAAAGTCCTATGCTTAAGCATTCAATGCTTCTTCAACTCTTCAGTGCTGCTCCTTTAGCTCCAGGCCCAACAAATTTCTACTCTTTCTTCACACTCAGCGCAGGCGAAGCCCTGGTGGCCTCCCTCCTGCTGCCCTGGGCTGCACCTGCCCGGCTGTTGCTCTCCCCACAGGAGGCTGAGTCGCCTGTGGCCGGGAGGGACTGTCTCTTTGGGATCTGTGGCCCCGCGGCTCAGGACAGTGGCGGGGACACATTAGAAACTCAACACACGGCTCCATTTACCGTTCCACAGTGCATACGCACTTCAAAACATCACGCTGCACGTGATGAATACATAATATTTTAAAAGTTAAAAAATAAACGCAATGGTGTTACAGTTCCTTACTGTGTCCCAGGATTTCTGGATTTTGCAAGTAACTTTTTTAAGGGTACTGAGGATTGAACTCAGGGCCTTCACACTGAGCTACAGTCCCAGGCCTTTCTTTATTTTTCCATTTTGAGACGGGTTCTTGCTACGCTGCCTAGGTGGGGCTTGAACTTTGGATCCCCCTGCCACAGCCTCCCAGAGTGCTAGGATTACAGGTGTGTGCCACCACGCTTAGCTATGTTTTTTTTTAAATAAAAAGGAAACTCAATGAACGTTTGTTGACTCTAATGAATAAATGGATAGCAGTGATGTAATGGATTAGGAGGGGGTGAGTGATGAGTTACAGGGAGGCTCTAAGGTGCCCGCTACACTCAGGAATCCTGGAGGTCAGGGTTTCCATGGCCACAGAACAAACAATTCCTGGAAGGAAGGCGGGAGAGAAGCAAAGGACTTTCTGCTGGAGAAGTAATGAGAATTCTGGAAGGGCTCCCATGGCTGAAGGAGCCTCAGCATGCTCGTGGGGGCTCGCCCGGGCCTGCACCTCCGCCCCCGCACAGAGTCACTCCGAGCCAATGCCACACACACCGCTGCACAGATACTTAGATGAGAATTAACGGTGACACTGAGTGGCCGGCAACTTTGCAGAGGCCAGGGACGTCTACACACACCACGCTCTGAAAAAACACTCTCTTAACCCTGCGTGGAAAGCCATCCTACAAAGCTGCATTAGAGATGACAAACGGCAGTTAAAATACAAAACCGACGGTATTTAAATCTCAGAGGTCACAGGGCTGTCTTTAAATCTTGCTCTAAGTAGTTTCCCCACTTTCCTAGTTACCGGAAACAGGCAAATCCTCGGTACTTTAAAAACGAATTCCTATTTCTCTGAAGGCCCACAGATACCCAGCCCACGTGTAAAACTCTGCTCTCTCCCGCCCCAGCCTGGGAAAGTGAGGTCTGTGTAGCTGTGACTCAAAGCTCCACCCTTCGCTTGCTGGCACTCACGGGACCCGGGGACATAGAGGAGACACCGGCCACAGAAGGGTGAGGTTCCCAGGCCTTCATCTATGGCTGGTGGCTGTGGTCTCCACAGAGCCTCCACATTTTGAGCCTGTCGCCAAGCCATACCATCTACTGCCGCTGCTGTACTCGACTCCTCGGGCGTCCGCTGCCAGCTTACCTGAATTTGGTGAGATGTGTAAACTGCTCACGTCCTTGGACAAGCCATTGGTTTTGGGACTGGAGATGGGCGCGCAGGCCGACGTGGCTCGGGGTGGCCTCTTCCCTGGGACTTTCACAGTGGTTCTCAGGAGGTCAATCTCTTTACCGTGAACATTCTGCATGTAATCCTGTTCAAAATGTTAAACATCCAAGACAGATTAAAAAGAGGACCTCTACAACCCAGGACGAAAGTTTCTATCAGATGGCATGGGCTGTAATCCTGTGACCCTTCCACTGTGGAGAGCACTTGGGAAATGATGAGGTTTGTATCTGCACGGCGTGGGGGGGCATCACCATTATGTTTAAGTAAAGTTTCGTGACTATGTCCCAGGCTAACCCGGGACTGGAAACACAGGGGGTTGTGGCAGAGGATTCACTTATGAGGGTTAGAAAATACAATGGACCCTTGACTTACACACTCAATTCGTTCCCAAGGGCTGGCTGTAACTCAAGTTGTTCAGTGAGGGCTCAGGCTCCTCTACAGCCCTCAGAGTCTCTTTCCTGTACACGGGCAGATCTCAGTGTCCTTACAGAGACCCTGGCCCAGGATTTCTCAGTGAACCCCACACAGGAGAGGATGCTGTCATGTTCCGTCCAGAACTCTGTAAGGGTTAGATCTGTATCTGAGACCATCTGGAAGCACAAGTGGCCAGCATTTGGGTCGTAACTCAAGACTCTGTTCCTAAGTTAAAACTAAAATTCCAGTCTTAACCCAAGTTGTTTGTATATCAGGCCAGTTGTAACTCGAGGGTCCACTGTATGTGCACACATAAAATCCTACTTTTTGAATTCTTGCTTTTTAGATGGCACGTCCAAAGCTGAGCTCTTCCTGTGGATCCTGTATAATATTCCATGGAGTGCAAAACCATGTCATCATCACCTTCCCGTCTCAGCTGGGCAGGCCATTAAACCTCTAGGTCAGGCTGAAGCTGTGGGTGGGGATTCAGATACAACCACACGCAAAGGTCCATTGTGCAATGAACGAGCGTGCCAGGGACGTGTGGTGCAGTACAGGAAACGCAGCACATCCACGGGAGGATTTGTGAAAGCGGGAGGTTGAAAAGAATGTGCACTCTGTGGCTCTTGAGCACTATGCTTCTCCAAGCAGTTCACACACTGTATTCCCAAAGATTCCTTGCCCGTGCCTAGGAGGCGAGTGACTTATCAGAGGGAAGCCCAGGTAGGCAGAAATGCAGGTCTTCTAACTCAGCAGGGAGCAAAACACTCCCTGAGAACTGGCTGATGGTAGGGAGAGGTGAGAGATGAAAGCAACAGCCCCAAGGGACCATGGTCTGACACCTCTGAAACCATGAACCACAATAAACCTTTCTTATTTATTAAGTTGATTATCTCAGGTACATTTTGCCATAGTGACAGAAAGCTGACTAATACAGCAACTGAGAGCCAGAGTGAAGGGACTGTTGGTAAATCTGGAGCTACTGACCCTTTAAAGTGTCAGTTTTTTGTATTGAGCCTTCTGGTCTGTGGACACAATATTTTATGCACACTGGCCAAATTAACTGATACGACACGGGACAAAAAGGATGTATTCTAAATCACTCTTTGGGTAAAGAACATTTCAAGGGCTTTAGTTCCAGGCAGATTCTTGGTGGATTTCTTTTAGGTTCTAAAACCCAGAAGTCTGTATTTGCTGTAGAAGATTAAGGTGAGTGTAGGTGCTGGGTGTGAGGGGCCCAGGCATGCTGGAGAAGTGAGTGTGGTAAAACGATGCAGAGAGAACTAGACCTGAGCTCAGGGCAAGGGTGGAGGCCCCAGTCTGCAGGATGAGGAAAGTCGGACAAAGTACTGAGAAGGCTGTAGGGGTCCAGGCAGGGAGGTCAAGTGAAGGCTCCGCTGGCTCCAGGGAACAAGGTGATCATTTCTTAACTCAATGCGGGACAGTTTTCAGGTTCCCACCAGTAAAGGGAGTTAGGAGAAGGCTGCTCTTCATCAACATTCAGGATGTTTGCTAACAGCAGAAACGGCTCAATAGGATCCCCCAGGCCAAGATTCCAATTCAGGGGAAAGGTCCCCAGGCGTGGTTCATGGCATTTCTGGTGCAGCCTGGAGCAAGGGCTCAGGCCTCGCCTTACAGCCCAGCAAAGAAGGAAATGTGCCAGACTGCATGCCAGTGGAGCGGGACCCATCAGCGGAGGAAGGCAGGGAGGGACCTGGCAAGGTAGGGCACAGCCATGTGGGAGACGGGAATACAGAGCCCTGGGAGGGCCACCAGGCACTGTGTTGGGAGAAGGTGGCCCAGGGTCCTGGGGACTTCCTGAGGACAGACCCCAAATAGCCAACTCGGTGTTGAACCAAAGCTCAAAAAGCCAAGGTTGGAGCCAGGAAGAGGAGCCTCCATGGGGGAGAAGGGATTGACCTGTGCTCAGCTGAGACCTGCAGGGTGGGGTCTGTAGCAAGGCACAGAGCCTCCCTATGTCCACAGGGGAGCCAGCTGGGGCTGGCCACCACCATGTGGCGGAGAGTCCACCTGAATGTGGGGAAGCAGAAGGTCTCTGGGGTGGGAACAGCAAATGGGATGGAAAAGCTCCTGAGGGTAGAATCGGCACCTGTGACAAGATAGACGTCTGTCTCCACAAAATGTAATCGCCTAGGGAAAGGCTGGTTTTGACAGGATGTGGACCAAAGATGGGAAAGAGGAAGGTGATCACTACACCAGACTGCAGGATAAGGGAGGGTGGAGAAATGCAGGGGCCCTCAGGACCAAGCTCAGCACTGGGGACAGCAAGTGAACTCCACGGAAGAGAAGAAATCAACTTCGGTCAGTGCAGGTTATTTAAAAGAAAGATTGCTCTTAAGCCTCTTTAATTTACTTCCACTAATATCCACCCGAAATATGCAACCCCAAGTTTCAAAACCAAAGTTAATGCTTGTAAATAATGAATCCCTCCTTGGATAGTTACTCCTTTAAAAATATCAACTTGCTATAACTTTCTCCTTTAATGCCAATTCTTAACAAATTAAAATACAATAACAGGAGTGTAATTGAGCATTTATTGCTTATGAGCTCTAAAATGAGGCTAATCAGAGAGTGACTAAGCCTCAGCGTGGGCTCTTTTAATAGGCGTGTTTTAACGTACAATACCAGGATATTTTATTTAACATTATTATAGAAATGTACTGAGTGTCTGCTCCCTGGATCTGCACACACCAAGGGAAGACATTCATCTTGAGCTCAGCATGGGCTGGGCGACTGTTTTCCTGCCGAATTAGGTGCTGAAAGTTCTGAAGAGCTGCCTCTAAAGAGCCCGAATATCAATCTGGGACTTCTATACTTCTAGCCACTAAAAAAAAAATGCTAGACGCTTACAAAGTGTGATTCCCAAGGCATAAAAGCCCTCCAACCTGGCGCTTCATAAACAGGTGGAACAGGGAGACACATGGGCCCATGGCTTCTAGTTTCTCCCAAGAGAAACCGCGCGCACCGAGTGGCCTGCTTTGGAAAGGACTCATCCTTTTCATCTCTCCCCCAGCTTGGTACTCCAGGAATGAAAGCTGCAGCCACTAAACAATGTCCGGTCCTCAGAAGTGGGATGTGTGGACCCCGATGGGTCTGAGGTAGGGACCTCCCTGGGTAAAAGAAAGACAGCAAGCTTGATTTTGATATGCAAATACCACAGATACTACCCTTCTCAGTGTTAGTTGTAGAAAATGCTGATCAAAGATAAAAGAGGAAAAAACCCTTTAACAAGGCGTGAGGGTAATTCAAAGCCAAGTACTTTTAAACAGCACTTAACAAGTCCCTGGGGCCCACTCAAGAGCCAGGCCCCCCAGAGGTGCCATCTCCTGCCCCTCAACAGCTTGAAAAAGTAGTAATTGCAAACCTATTTGCATTTTTCTTGTCAAGTTGTCCACGCTCATCACGTGGATTAGTTTTTCCAAGCAGGCGCCGGTGCGAAGGGACCCGTTCCGAATGCGCCAACAGCTCGGTAACCGCGCCTCCCCGTCCCCCTGCACCCCGGCTCCTGCACCTTTGCCATCCCTTGTTTTTTACATTTCGCTCCTAATTATGTTGCATCTATTGCCGTACACTTAATTAGCTGCATTAATGTGATTTCTTTTCACATAGTCAAGCAATTAAGAGCTATGATTGAGTTTCATTCAATTAGCCTCAACAAACATGCTAATTGATGTCCCAGATGCAAATGAGGTGCAATGAGAGAAACCTGCTAGCAATTGAGAGCCGTGTCAGAGACCCAGGGCTTTCAGCTTGCTGACAGAAGCACAGCTTAACTGAGCTCCCGCCTTCTTCGGGCTGCCTTAGGAGAGGGACAGGCAGCCATTAGCGCCGTGCGGTACCATACCCGGGCATCCTGACGTGGAGAATTAATTTCTTTGCTGCTGCACAGCGCTGTCTCAAAACTTCACAGTTATGGGTTCCCAGGACTGGAAGGTTAGCAACTGGGTAACACTTCGCTCCAGAAAGAAGAGCACTACGGAGTCCTCATCAATGTCTGCTAGGTTACTGAGAAACAAACAAGAATTCTCCCCAAAACTGTGGAGCAACCGTGGCCATCCTGGAGCCCTCCGTGTGCGTGATGGCCTGGATGGGTCTCAGTAAATGGGGAGTTCATCTTCGTCAGCTCTGGGGCCTCTGGCACTGGAGTTAAGCTCCAAACACAGCCATCCATCAACAGTCCCTAAAAATACTCTTACTATATTGATTCTCACAGCCTTGCATCCAGAGGTTACCTTTGGCTGTCTGGTGAAAGATGGTGTGCTGATGTGTTTGTAGGGGGATCAAAAGCAGTTAACAAGATCTTCAAGCTAAACTGAAATGCACAGACTCTATGATTGGCATCTCAAAACTGGATCTTCAGAAAACTACACAAGGCTTTGGAAATCACAGCTCTTAAAATCTACTCTTCAAATGGATACCATGTAATTAACATACTCCAGTTTTACATATACTGTACTTTTTTTCTTTCAGCACTGGGAATTGAACACAGGACCTTGGCTTGCCAGGCAGGTGTGGAATCACTGAGTTAAATCCCCAGCCCCATATACTGTAATTTTAAAAAGAATTAAGAGCTTTCCTTTTTTCTTTCCTTTTTTATTGTTTTGCAGTACTAGGGGAAAGAACCTGGGGCATTTATCACTGAGCTACATC